CAACCCAGCCATCTAGCCGAATGCAGCATCTGAATTCAGCCTTTCCCCTGAATTCTCAGAACCAATGGGAGACAGTTGGTTCCCGGGAAGCAGCAGAGTTCGAGCACCCTGGGACCCTGCTCCAGGGGAGACTCATGGGCGGGGTGTGGCGCAGCAGCACTCACTGAGGGTGTATCTTGTAGACGGTGCCGTCCACGCCCACCGTGGTCCGGAGCCGCGCCAGCTTCTTATTCTCCCGGAGACGAGTCAGGATGGCCGCCAGGGCCGCCGCACAGAGATTGGCCGAGCGGAAGGAGACGATGGTGCAGACGTGCTGGACCGCAATGCAGTCGGCCTCCGAAGGCTCCAGGCCCAGGTTCGTGAGGATCTCTCGTGTGTTGGCAAGGCCTTCTTTATACCTGGCCGGGGACAGGAATGAGAGGGCCGCCCTTTTCCCTCCACGGAGAGAACCAGCTTTCTCACTTCTCAGGACCGTGAAAAGAAACAGGCTGGCACGTAGTAATCTAATAACAACATCAGGAGGGATCATAGGAGCCACCACTTGCTGAGCCCTCACTGTGCGCCAGCACTTGTCTAAGGATTTGACAGGTATTAACTCAACGCTCACAACACTCCTGGGGGAATTCTGTCATTACCCGATTGCTCAGAAGAAGGGACCTGAGGCACAGAGAGGGCTAGTAACTCGTCCACAGTCACACAGCTAGTAAGTGCAAGGCTCGGGTTTTGAACTCAGGCAGTTAAATTAGAGTCTATTACCCACCTTGTACTATACCGTGAACTATACTCTGCCTTTCACCGAAACTCAGTCCCTGCCAAGCTCTGCACAAATACAGACGCTGGGAGTCACACGCCATTTTGCTGAGCTCAGAATCTAAACTGATTACAAAGCTCGGGGCAATGCCAGGGTTTCTCAGCCGGAGGAACCGGACTTAAGTTGGCTGGGGCCACGCCCTGTTGCAGGGACCTCTGTGTGAGGCCTCAGAGCCCCAAAGCCAGCCCCCAGCAGGACCAGGTAGAGAAGGCTCTTGCTATGGCAGGAGTTCATAACTTGGATTCCATGCGTGGGCTTTCATGGGTCTAAGGATGCCCTGATATTATAAATAAAGTTGTGTGCAAGTGTGCCTTTTGGGAAGAAAGGGTCCAGAACTTGAATCTGATCCTCAAAGGGGTCTGTGACCCTAAACATTTTATAAATCACAGCGTTAGGGGAAGCAGAAGGCAACAAAACAGGAGGAGGGTAGACCTCCGTCGGCCGAATCCCAGGCTGAGGAAACCCACCAGAAGCCACAGCTGAGTCACCACAGGCACTGCTAACCCTCCTCAGCTGTAATCAGGTCTAAAATCGTCCTGGTGAGGCCCTAGCTGGTTTGGCTTAATGGATAGAGCATTAGCCTGCAGACTGAAGGATCCCGGGTTCGACTTCAGTCAAGGACACATGCCTGAGTTGCAGGATCGATCCCTAGTAGGGGGCGTGTAGGAGGCAGCCAATCAATGATTCTCTCTCATCATCAGTGTTTCTAACTCTCCCTCTCCCTTCCTCTCTGAAATCAATAAAACTATATTTTAAAAAATAAAAATAAATCACCCAGATGAGGAAGAAGACCTGGTCCCTTCCCTTCCACTGTACCCCTCTCATGAGAAGACCGCCCTGGCCGCCCACCCTGCACGAATCCTCCGCGTCCAGGTGGGAGGGACCCTCCAGAGCTTACTTCTCCATGGCAGCCACGTGCCGTGTTTCAATCTTGCCCTTAGTGTGGAGACTGGAGGACTTCTTGCCGCCAAACAGGAGGCCTGCCTTGGTCATCTTCACCAAGATGAGCCTGACGAGTTCACCGAGGTACAGGCCGCTGATCATCTTCTCAAACCTACAATTTGGTGAGCAGATCAGTGCCAGGTTGGCTTTGAGGGAATGGAAATTATTTTAAGTGAAAGAGAGGGTGAGGATGGTCAAGTCCTTGGGCCAGGACTGCTCCGCATCTCCAGGGAAAGGGGTGTGTGCTGGGGAGCAGGTGCATCCAAAGCAGGAATTTACTTTCCAGGTGTGCAGCTCTGTGTTTAAATATTTCCTAGGAGGTACTTTTCACCGGGCTTCTTGGAAAAATGGTTTGATCCCAGGGACGGGGCTGGGAAAAGACACCATCTTCTTCTGGGCCAGGAGGAAAAAGGTGATGGGAACATGTCAAAGGATGTGGGGGCCAGCTTGGAGGGGATTCCACCGGCCAAGTGTGAAAAATTTGAATATCAAAATAAATAATGACGGGAAGAAATTATAACCTATGAAATAAAACAATGCTATGTGTCCATATTGGTCTGACTAGATCAATGGAGGGGATAAGAAAGCTCTTTCTCACAGTGAAGTAACAGTGAATGAACAGAGGAAATGATGCACTGGGATTCATCCATGGATGCTGAAGCTAGAAAATGAAGGTTTCATGAGAAACAGGATGTTTCCATAATCCCAAACATCTCTTCACCAGTCACTCATTCCAGAGGGAATCGTGGTAAACACATGGTGGAGAAGCTGTTGCATTTCCCCTTAACCAGGGGGTTCAGGTAGCATCACCGGTAACTGAGCAAACACACACCTCCAAATACACACGTCATGTGGGAAGTTCCTGCCAAAAACCCATCACCAGAACCTAATCACAAGGAAACATCAGACAAACCAAACTGAGGGACATTCCGTAAAACAAATGGCTTTGTGTGCGTCAAGATGGTGAAACAGATCCCACAGAAGTGTTCCCGATGGAAGGAGGCTCGGAGACCCGCCAGAAAACACAGTGTGCGCTCCTGGGCGGGAGCCTGGGCCAGGACCACTTGTTCTTTTTGATAAAGGACATTAGTGGGCCAGCCGGTGATCCTGAATCGGTCTGTAAAGTAGATATTGAACTTATGACGTGTTGATGCCCTAATTTTGATCATTACACTTAGTTTATGTAAGAGAAGGTACTTGTTTTCAGGCAATACACTCTGACGTACTGAGGAGTGAAGGGATGTTACGTATGCAACTTAGCCTCAAAGGTTCAGAAAAATAATTTTACACAGACGTGTGTATTTTATATGTATAGAGACACCCACACACAAACACACAGAGAATGTTACTACTTAGGAAATCCGAATGAAGGGGAATTTCATGTGATAGTCACAACTTTTCTATAAGTCTGAAATTATTTTTTTTTAAGTTTAGTTTTTTTTCACTCAACACTTAATGAGTTGCAATAATGTGTGCGTGCAGGCAGGAAAGAGAAGCCGCGTGGGCAGCCTGCCTCCAGGGAGCGCGGCGTGTAGACAGCCTGAGGCAGCCCCGGGACCTCCACGGCAGCAGGTGTGGGGTGCGGGCTGGGAGGAGTCACCAGGTGCTGTGGGCCAGGCCCCCGAGGCAGCAGCGTGTCGGGAGCCCTGGAAACACAGCGAGGCACTGGCTGATCCTGCTTCCTCGGGCTGCACTGGTCCGTTGGTGGCCACTCACCAAACGCACCCAGAGGTCAAGACCGGAGCCATCGGGGTCGCCCTGTCTCGCACACACAGGCTCCACGCACACGGACCGAATGAGGCGGAGGCAAACCACTGCACAGCCTTGTCACTTCCCTCATCTGCCCCGTGAAAATGAAATACAGACCTGGCCTCTCACACGCACTGGGACGGGTAACTAGTCACAACTGAAAGCCTCCCAGGCATCAAGTGTCCCCTCCTCCCCTCGTCGCCTTCCACCAGGTCGATGTTGCTCATGTCCTCCATGTAGCACGCGTTGGTGCCGGTGCCTGAACAAGGGGTCAGAGGGAAGATGCACAGATGGCAGGCTCCCCACTGGGCAGGCAGAGAGCTCTGACCTGCCCGAGCTTTAGACCTGAGAGGTCTGGGATCCACCGCACAGGCCTTAGACCTGAGAGCTCTGGGATCCACCGCACGGCCCTTAGACCTGAGAGCTCTGGGATCCACCGCACAGCCCTTAGACCTGAGAGCTCTGGGATCCACCGCAGAGGCCTTAGACCTGAGAGCTCTGGGATCCACCGCACAGCCCTTAGGCCTGAGAGCTCTCGGATCCACCGCACAGCCCTTAGGCCTGAGAGCTCTCGGATCCACCGCACGGCGCTTTTGATCGGGGGCTGGTTCCCGCTGAGGCAGCAGCTGGCCAGCCGGAGTTTGTGAGGAAACCAGCTGACATGCCAGGCCTGCACTTCTCAGTGTGCTCACGGTTTGCTGTGTGAATGAAGTCGGTCCTGAAGAAGTCAGTCCCTAACGAATATGTATGAGCTGACAAAGCACATTTGCAAAGAGAAGGATGAGTTCACCTAACCTGATATATTTTGAATTACCAACCCACAGTAATTTTTAACCCCCTTCCCTCAGCTACCTAACCTCTTCTCTATTTGGCAGTAAAAATATCCTTTATTCATGACCTGCCACGCGTTGTTCCCCACCTACTCTACATCCTTATCGTTGACAGTGATTAGCTATCACATAAGAAAGCAAAATTTCATTATTCCAACACACACTCGAGGATTGGGGGAGTGGCTGCAGGTGGGCACCATCTGTGTGGGACTTATTGAGGTGATGGAAATGTTCTAAAATGAAATAGGAGTGATGGTTACAAAATTGTAAACTTACTAAAATGTATTGAATTGTACTGAAATGAGAAAAGTTTTATGCCTCAATAAAGCTACTTAAAAAAAACAAAAGTAAGCGTCTTCCTGGCCGGCCCTGTGGTGTGAGGATTTAAAGCCAGCACGAGAAACAAGAAGGCAGAAAAGCAAAATGTAACGCAGCATCTGGGCACACTTTCTCAGGAAAGCACGGACACTGTTAGGCGTGGCCCGCACCCTGCACACCGCCACTGTGCCGGGCTACCTGACCCAGCCACTAGGACAGCACAGTGACAGTGGCTGAGGGAAATGCCGGTCCATGCTGAGGTGTGGGCTCCAGAGACGGGGAGGGTGGGGGGGTAGATCAAGCCCCTCAGGGGTAAAGCTCCTGCCCTTTGGGAAAGTCAGGCTCAGGAGAATGTAGTTAGAAAGTAAGAAAAAAACCACGCAGAAAACTTCTTCCAGCAGCAGTAAAGGGATGGGGAGGTGGAAGGGCATATCCAAGAACAGCCTATAAATCCCATCCATTTGGCTTCAATTGTCCCCCAGAAGGCCTTCTCCCGGACCCTCTAGGAGAGCCCCTCCCAGCTCGGGGACCCACCCCCTGGACACCTCACTGCCCACCACCCCTTGGCCCAGGCCTCCACCACGTCTCACCTCCACAGGGCAATGGTCTCCTGGCCAGTCACCTTGCTTCCACTGTTGCCCCCAATAGTCAACTTTTCACACAGCAGCCAAAATGAGCTTTTTAAAAATATGCACCCCACTTATCCATCCCCCCAGCATCCTCCAGTGCCTTCCTGTCTCTTTTGGGGCAAAAGCCAAAGACCCTCCATGACTGTGTCTGTGACCTATGCCCGGTCCCATCCACTCTCTCCAACCTGAATACCCGACTACCCCCAGCCTCCGTTCACCAGATACAGCCGCCATTCCGCCTTTCGGGGTGCTTCCCCGAGCACCCAGACCCAGTCCCATCCAGAGGCCAGAGGTGTCCTCTTTCCTTTGCCAAGGACTCGCCTCTGGATCTTACTTGGCTCCCTCCTCCTCATTGTGGTCCCTGCTCAAATGTACCCCTCAGAGCGTCCTGCCCTGACCACCTCACACTCACTCTCGGTCACCCCCCTGCTGCATTTTCTTCCTCATAGTCAGCACCACCTGACATGATCTTACTCCTTTAGGCCTCTTTGGCCCTTTGATGTGATCTGCCCCCCACCTCCCCACTGAAAGCCCCATGAGCACAGGGACCCTGAGTATTAACTCACCCTGAGAACCCAATGCAGGGACGGGCCTGACACACAGTAGGCACCCAGCAAGCACTGGTTGAGTGAATGAATGAATTTTTCATCGTCCTCTGTTGTTTCTCCTAAGCAGAAAGCACCAGTCCCCTTCCCGCAGAATTTGCTCAGTTTGCTGAAACTAAGCTCCAACCCAGCCCCGTACCCACATCCCCAAAAAGCAAGTCAGATTGAGTTACCAATGATGACTCCAACTTCACAGGAGGGGTCATCATAGGCACAGGTCATCATGGTTCCCACGGTGTCATTGACCAAGGCCAGGATATCCACATCGATGTCCTGTTGGAACACAAGCATTCGTGGGCGGGAAGGGAGTGTCATCCCTCTGTCTGTCCCCACGGAGAAAGCAAAACGGTGAAGGTGACTGTTGGGAAAGTCCCTAGATCCTGCCTATGGGGCCTGCCTGGAAGGAGCAAGGCCTGTGTCAAGGTCAGGGGTCTCGGTGAGAGAACGAGCAGTTGGGAGCTCGTGGGGGAACCCATGCTGCTGCTGTATGGCCGATGGCCCCTGTGCCGAGGAAGAGGAGGGACAGACCACCTGGACTCCAGCCCTCGCCTGAGGGACCCTGAGCAGAACATGTCTGTCCTGGAAGCAATGGTGTTCTCAGGAGGAGATACTCGAGTCCTCAGCTGTGGGCAAGTCCCCACCCGGTTTCTCATTCCGCCAAGTCAACCTGGGTTACTGCACCACATTCCCCAAGGTTCGAGGGAGTGTTTTAAAGTAAAATGAAAACAATAAGAGAAAAACAGACTTCAAGAGAATCCGATCACAGCTTTAAAGAGAATAAAAGACAGTCCTCTTGCTGTCGGGGTGACAAATCATCTGGGCTCACTGTGTGCTTTCCACTGGCAAGGAGCGTGCCTTGCTTTTGCGGTTATAACATTTATTCAACAAATAGTCCAACTAAGGGAGCGTGGAAAGTGGCCTAGAGAGCCAGACTGGAAAGAAAGTATATTTTAAGCCTGAGCGAGAGGTAGGAGTTGGAGCATCACACACAGCAGGGGATCTAACCAGGACCCCTGAGGGGGCTGTGCCAATGGGGAGGTCCCTGGGCAGTGGGGCCCACTTTCAACAGTAACTGGAACAAGGCCCACAGACCAAGGCTCCCCCGTGGGTTTATCAGAAGTGCGGAGCCTGCATTGCAGTGAGGCCTCCCCTGAGGGCGGTTCCTCCTTCAGGGGCAGGCACTGTGTGAACCGCCCTCAGGAGACGGCTAGGACTGGGAGCTGAGCAAATTCCTACCTTGTGGTTTTTCATGGCCTTGGTTAGACGGTTCACTACATCTGTGTCCTGAACTCCCCGGGCCTTAAACTTCTTGGTCCATGAAAGCAGGACACCCTGGGGGAAGAATTCAGATCCAGTCAAAACAAAGAAGGTGTTCAGTTCTGAACATGAGCTGCAGGGATTGTATGCTTAAAGTGCAACCCCCTGTCTTCTCTTCTTTAAGCTGCATCGCCCAATTCTTTCAGTATTTCTTCAGAGGCCTTTGCTAATATTTAAACACTAGAGGCCCAATGCACAAAATTCCTGCAAGAGTAGGCCTGCCTTCCCCCCAGCTGCTGGCACCGGCTTCCCCGCTCTGGCCCCCGGGACCCGGGCTTCCCTTGCAGCTCCGGCTTTGTCCAGAAGGATGTCCAGTCTAATTAGCATATTACGCTTTTATTTATATAGATCTGTAAATCCTGATTTGTATGTGAGGACCATTAATTCAGAGTTTTCGGAAAGAATATAATACTCTGCTTACATTTAACCCACATATCCAACAGTCACCTCAGTGTGACTGGGGAGGGAAAAAAACTTTCAGAAAAATGTATGACTCTTCCCTACTGGCTAGTCTGTCCTTTGGAGAATGACTACAGTAATTGCCTGTAAGAGCTGTTTGCATCCATCACTGTCAGGTTTGCTCAGCCTGTGCCCAAGTCTCCTTGTTACATGCCAGCACAATCTGTTCATGGCCTTCATTTCCTTGCTATTGATGTCACTTTTT